TTATGGTGGCCCACACCATCACCATGGCCGGAGCTTGAGTTCCGGTAGCCAACCGAAGGTGCAAATTTTCAGCTGACCTCTTTGGCAAGTAAACACGATCATTTTGTTTGCTTACAAACTGCCGGACAACGAATGTTTTCTCATCGGAGAAAACCAAATTCGGCAGCTCACAACTTTCGGCCAAGCGAAGCAGCTCTCTATAGCTTTTTTGAGTCTATTTTCTGTCAGTTGCGGTGTAAGTTCTTGCACTTTTTGGAATTTCAATTCCGTATTTTTCCGGAATTTTTCTTCCGTCCACTTCCTTGACGCCGGGCTACGCTACCAATATCACGGTAATGAGCAATGGTACAAACACAAAATATTTATTCACATTTAAAGGCTGGAGTGCTCTAACGATAGCCATTTGTGGTTTTGCAGCCAAATATAAAGAAATCATTCCATCACGAATAATTTGTTTCTGGATAATTCTCACCAAAATGTTTTTGTAAGCTTGTAAACAATATAAAGAGCTATCACTGGAATAATTTGAACAGCTGTCGGACGAGTGGTTGGAAATGACAGCCGTCTGAAGTTGGTTGCAGTTTTTTCATCCCAGCTTGTATAGAGGGGTATAAAAACTATTGCTAACCTGAAAACGACAAGTCTATGTTAAGTGTTAATCTGCTTACAAATATAGGTTTCAGGTTAAAATGCAAGATTGCTCATTTATAGTGACATTGCTATTTCAAATACTTTTTATAATCAACAATCTTGAGCAATATAGAAAATGCATTAACGTTTCGTGTGACAAGCTTATGTGTACTCAAAACAATGTTAATATCCTTGAAATCCTTACTGAACAATTGTGACATGTATTTTAATGCAACTTTTCGTGCAAGGTAATGTGACTCGATAAACAAAGTCTATAGTGACTCATCTGATTATAATAAAATAAAAAAAAAACAAACTGTCCCTTTTCAGAACTTTTCCAGCTACTAACCTATTTTATATATTTATCATTTCAGACGCAAACCAAAATAAAACAAAAAATATGACAATTATAGATATAAACAAAACTTGCATAAGATCCCCCTCCATTCGACAATGAGTGTCACAACAAAACTAGATGCCATGAATATGGAGTAAGTCACTTGGAAACACTGATTGTAGAGAATGGAAGACAGATCCAATGCATCCCAATGATGTTGTGACCCACATATTCCGTCTTATCATTTTCTTGATGAAATACGCACCATGAACGACGGACAGTAAAACGAGAGGCAGAGAAAGAGAGAGAGAAGTTTTGATGTTTTATGGATAAAAATAATTACGATCATCCTTACATTTCATTTCAGCTATGTATGTATGTGTGTATCTGTATGGTTTCATTGTTACGGACTCTGACTCTTAAGAATTTCGAATCTCATATAATTATAAATATAACAATTCAAAATGAAATACTCATTCCAATAATAACATCATAAATAAAAATATTAAAAAGAAAAAAAATTAAAACTACAATGCACTGAACAAATAAACAAATAGTAGAAACAACAACAAAAACATAAGTATATTATCCATACCCCTCCAAGAGCAGAACACACACATTTGCTCATAAATAATGTGGATATGAAGACCAAAGGAAATTTTCGAATCGTCGTAATATTTATTTTTTTCTTTGTGGAACAATGGAGGCGCTAAGTAATGAATGAATGAATCGACTCGATTCGAAGAATGGTATTGGGCCAGTGCCCAGACACTGTAGTCTATCACATGATAGAATATTTCAATATTTGCAAATCTATAAAAATATTTAATAGCTCCTACAAACAGAATGTTCCTGTTTAGGTGGATGAGACATCGAAACAGTGAATCAAAAATATTAAGTTAAAACAATTGAATAAAAAATTCTTTTTTTTAATCTCAATTCCAACTTGACCTCATAGAGAATGTTATATAAATCAATATCAATTAAATCACAGCGGGTTAAAATAGAAGGAGTAGACCATATGTTATAAACATTTTTGATGGCATATCTGCAGAGTAGGAATATCAATGGAGAAGTGAATGGTCAATGGCAACATTTTTTTAAATTTAAAATTCCAGCAGAGGACAACATAAAAAATACGAGTATGATGTAATTTAACATTAATTCAACACAAATGTTCCAAAAACAGAGCTCAAAACTTCTTTGTTGACTTTTAGTAGACAAGATCTATTTTCTTAAATTTTCTAAAAAAAAATTCTGTAAATACATTTTGTATGGACTTTCAAATGTGAATTTTTATAAAAGATTATTCTGAGGGCTGTCACGGCTGTTGTATTGGAGTAGTTGTTAAATAATAACATCCGGGTAATCAATGCTATAATCGTGGAGTTTTAAAGATTAAAAAAAGCTAACAAGACATATCGAGTATTATAAAAGAATTTCTTCGAAGGACTATCAAGACTATTATCTTGGATTTTTAAAGAATTTCTTCACAGGACTATCAAGACTATTTGTGGATTTTTTTAAGAATATCCTTAAAGGATATTCGTGGATTTCTTTTTAAAGAATTTCGACGAAGGACGTTCGCGGCTATATTTGTAGATTTTTTACAGAATTTCGTTGAAGGACGTTCATGGCTATATTTGTAGATTTTTAACAGAATTTCGATGAAGGACGTTCATGACTATATTTGTAGATTTTTTACAGAATTTCGACAAAGGACGTTCAGGGCTATATTTGTAGATTTTTTTTACAAAATTTCGATGAAGGACGATGATGGCTATATTTGTAGATTTTTTACGGAATATCGACGAATAACGTTCAAAGCTATATTTGTAGATTTTTTTTACAAAATTTCGATGAAGGGCGTTGATGGCTATATTTGCAGATTTTTTACAGAATTTTGACGAAGGACGTTCAGGGCTATATTTGCAGTTTTTTTACGGAATTTCGACAAAGGACGTTCAGGGCTATATTTGTAGATTTTTTAAAAAAATTTCGATGAAGGACGTTGATGGCTATATTTGTAGATTTTTTTACAGAATTTTGACGAAGGACGTTTATTTGTAGATTTTTTAAAAAAATTTCGATGAAGGACGTTGATGGCTATATTTGTAGATTTTTTTACAGAATTTTGACGAAGGACGTTCAGGGCTATATTTGTGGATTTTTTACAGAATTTCTTTAATGGACTAACAAGATGACTATCGGAGTTGTTTTAAATAATTTTTTCGAAGATCTAATATATATTTATTCGGGGATTTTTTAAGAATTAATTCAAATAACTAATAGTTCTTTAATCGTGGATGTTTAAACAATTAAGTCAAAGGACTAATAGATCGTTAATCGTGGATTTAAAGGACTAATACATTTTTAATCGTGATTTTTTTAAGAATTTGTAAAAGGAACTATCAGGGCTGTAGTCGTATATTTTTAAAATAGACTTTCCTTATTTTTTAAGATTTGTGTTCGAAGGACTATCAGGACCAGTGGTGGAGTATTTTTTCGAAGAATTGTCAATTCTTGTTCTTTTTAGTTTTTTTTTTTTTGTAATACAAGCAGGGCTATTATAGAGATTCTTTAACAAAATTTGATTATCAGTACGATGACCTTTTCCCACAATCTACACCAAATTTAGTATCATTTAGTACCTTTCGCTTATGTTATAGCACGCATTTCCAAGTTAGCCTTCTTATTTAAACGCTTCTCAGTCACAGTGTTCTTAATATCCAAATTTATAATTCCTGTTTTTTTCCCACACTATACTCCATAGATAGCACCATTTAGTACTTTTTGTACACCTAATGAACGCATTTCCAGAACGACCGCTCTCTATTCAAAACAAACAAAATGATCGTTTTTACTTGCCAAGGAGGTCAGCTGAAAATATGCACCTTCGGTTGGCCACCAGAACCCAAGCGCCGACCATGGTGGTGGTGTGGGCCATCATAACAGCCAATGGTCGCTCTCCGTTTGTATTAATCGACCGTGGCATCAGAATAAATGCCGAATATTATCGCGAAATATTCTGGAGGTTGTATTAAAGCCTTGGGCACGCAAACATTTTGGCCCCAGACCTTGGACAATCCAACAGGACTCAGCACCATCGCACTTAGGACGCGCCATCCAAGAATGGTTACAAAATAAGGTTCCTCGCTCCGGATACCTATCCGTTGGACTACTGTGTCTGGAGTATTTTGGAAAGCAAGATTGGCACTAAGAAATACCAAAGTGCAGATCACCTCAAGCAAGCGCTTCGCCGGGAATGGGCCAAAATTCCGCAGAGAAACATTCGGGCAGCGTGTGACGGTTTCATTGGCCTTTTGCAGGCCATAATTCATGCCAAAGTTAACCAATTCGAACAAATCAGAATTTATTCTGAAATTTGATGCTATTTCCGACAGTTTTCGCTTTCATTCAATAAAATTAAAAAATGTAAAAATCATGACGTTTGACTTCGTTGCAGTTTGTTTTATCTATTTATGAGTCGAATTTCCAGATCCACTGGATACGCCAATGGATCGCCCATTTTTTGTATAAAATTCCAGAAATACAAAATTTGTCCTTCGTTGCCTACTGTTTCAAAGTTTATGAACGCATAAATATTTTTGTTCCTTTTTCTTCCCGTTCTACCACCCAACAAACTTAATGATCCACAAAATGTTCAACACATTAATTTAACACAAATTTAACAACAAATAATGGCAGATAATCGAACAAATATATAGGTATCGAGAACTTGCTGATGAGACACCCAATTATAGATCGCCTTTTTAACTGAGAATGAAAATTAGGTCGGAAGAGAAGTTCTTGTGTGAGTGCTGCTGAGCAAGTATGTGTCGTTGCCAATGCCACTGCTCGGCCAATGCATGTGCACAGTGGGCTGGTCATAAACGGCGATGATAAGACATCGTTGTCGCCGTTAGCTGTCATAACCGTTAGAGAAACTTTGCCACAATTCACAAATAAATAAAGAATACAGTCGTATCCCCCAAACCATAAATAGAGAGCAGAGCCACACAAAAGCAAAAGCAAAGAACCATTCTGCCGGATGAGGAGTCCAGTAATCATTTCTAATACTGAAACACAACACAAAAAGTGTATCCGAACGAACAAAAAATACAGATACAAAGCTGTGCAACAACAAAAACAATGTAGCCCAGCTAAGCAACCCCACCAATACCATCAGCGTTTCGAAATGGGAGCAACCTCGTCGAAAAGTATATCTGAATTATTTGCTTTCTAGTCAGTCGCAGTAAAACAGATCGCCATCATTCACACATCAGTGTGGAGATTTTAATAATTGAGGCGACATTTTTACGAGCGTTTGGAGTGCGGATTATGGCATATCGTCTGAAAACGGCCAACGAAGAAGCAACAGTGTCACATTGAAATTGCAACACCTCGGGAATTTCATTCTCGTATTTTTTGATGAAGTTAAGCACTTGACCAGCCGGGGTGTTATGGTGAGCAAGGATCAGGTGCTTGTAATGGTATCAGTGGTGGTGGTGGTGGTTGTGTCAGAAGTGGTGATGGTGGTTGTGCCAGTATCTCTGTGTTAATGTGCTTGCGTGACTTGATTTGCATAACGCCAACGTCGTCATACTTCTCCGAGTCAAAAAGAGTCAACTTATGAGGTGCGAGGTCAGTCAGTCCGTCAACCAGCCAGCCAGTCATCTATCCAATCCAGCCAGTGAAAAGAAAAACTATCATAACTAAAGAGAATCAGTCAGCCAGCCGACTCACCGACCGACCGAACGTGTGCCACAACAATAGTTACTTCTGCCATTGTCCTTATTCTGAATGAATATCCCCCATCCACAACAACAACAACAACAGAGACTTGAAGTTGGCGTTGTGTTCTAGTCTCTGCATAGAAAAGAGGCCTATTACTACTGACTACAAATTGTTGGCGTTGTTGTAGTTGTAGCACTGACTGACTGACGGTTGTGATTGTTGCCATTGTGGCGCTTTCTGGTTTCCACCTGGATTTGTTGTAAATGAGAAACAACGGCGGCAACACCAACAACCTAGAACGGAGCAACGGTGCAAAGCCCTAACACACTACTTAGACTTTTGGAACAACAACAATAACAACAACCACACCAGTGGAGAACAGCGGAGGAGGCCAGCTTTTTGTAAAAGCCACCAAGGAAATGTCTCGTCAGTCGCGTCTAAAGAGTTTCAACGAAAACAGCTATTCATGCTGAATGGCTCAGTTCAAAGCAGAAAAAAGGGAATCCACAACGCTAAGTAAACAAACAACGACCCCTGGCTGGCTAACGGCTTGGCTAGATGCACAGAACCAGGACCCTTCGAAAAGCACAGGACTAGCTAGCCCCTCTTTGGGCCACAACGGAGCAAAAAAAAAACTATTGTGGGATACCTCAAATTCTCCAACAGCCACAAAAACGCTTCCTTGGTTTTTTCTAAAAAAACATGTGTTTTGTAAATGTCCGTGTGTTTCAAACGTACTTTAAGTTTTCCAAACCAATACCTGAGTAACCACGTTGTGCCTTTCTTCTTCCATGGCGAACGACAAACGATTTTGCCAAAACAGAAATTACCACAAAACCAAAATACCCGGTATATGAAAATTCAAGGTGAATGTTCCTCTGTTCAGTTCCGTTTTTCGCAAAAAAAAAAAAAACATCCAAAGCTTCTATGAACTCGGCAAATAAAAGTGTGCAACAAAAAGAAGCAAGAAAAAAAAAAAGCCGGAGGATGAGAATATTATGAACCTGTTGTTCACCACATCAAGGGTTCAACGTAGAGTGTGTTGTATACATATAAGAAAATTTGTATATATATGTGTGTGTGTACCTATGTGTCTGCCGTACTTGTGTGTATATTTGTTTGTCGAGGATATTGTTGAAAAAGAAAAAAAAAAAAACATCCACAAAGTTCATCTGGAAAAAAAGTTGCAATTAATTGACCCACATTTTTGTTGTTCAGTTTTGATTTAAAGTGATTTGAAATAAACATCGAAAATAAAACGACCAAAAACAAATCGTTTGTGATCTAAGCTGAATTAAAATTAAGTGAATACATAAATAGATACCAGAAAAGAGAAGACGTGTTATGCTCAAGCGGGATTACATCTGCCCAAATGTTTATGTCTTCTTTGCTGGAACAAATTATGAGGTCTAAGGCTCAAGCGAGAAAATTTAGTCAAGGTAAGTGAAAGGAATTATTTAAATGTTTATCCCTTATCCCTTTCAATAATTTAGATAAAAAACCTATAAAATCTAGAAAAAATTTGCATAGGACTCAATTCAATTCCACTTATCGAAGTACGTCCCTTGTAAGTCTTCAACACCAAATATCAGTGCAATGTTGTAACATCTTTCTGGCTGTCCTTTCATATCAGATATGTTCGTCCTTGCAACTGAATATTCTAACTTATACCGATATTTTATATCGTAGTAAAAAAACCCTCATTTTTGATATCATAGATGTCTAATACATTTATGGGGCTTCATAGTCCACATATTATAATGAGGTACAATTTCGGTCCTCACTTCTTTCATAGTAATTTTCTATAGTTATAACTTTTATGAAAGTGAAATAAGAGTCAAATTGTCTACAAATTTCACATATTCCAATATTTTTTAACAACACAGGTTATGTATCTTCTGTACCTTACCCCACTTCTGGTACCTTCCCTCCTTCTGATACCTTCCCCAATTTCTGGTACCTTCCCCCAAAGGGTCAATATTCTCATAAAATGAAAATATCTTACCAATGCTTTTCAAAAATTATTCGGGTAAAAAGCGGACACTAAGCGAAGTTGTATTGAAACTAAACTAGAAAATGCATATATGTGAATAAAGTTTGGTATGTATCGGCACATTTCGGGTATGAATGTTGCCTATTTGCTTAAAGAAAATATCGAAAATCCTAAAACAAAGATTATTAAAAATTACCCTCAAAAAGCTTACCTTGGTTTCATCTAAAAGCAAATCGGCTCACTACAATGGAAAATTTCCAAAAAAAAAAATAACACACATCATTAGAAAAATAACAATTTTCATAATTGTTATTTTTCTAATGATTTGTGGTATTTTCATATTTTTGGGAAATAATTAAAAATATTAAAAAAATTAGATAGAAAATGAGTTAAAACCATCAAATGTCATTACGAATTTTAGATACCAAATTTCAATCAACTCCACTGAAAATGTGACATATGCCATTAACATAGCTGATATTGAGAGTTACAGTTATGTGTAAGCATTATGAAAACGTGGGCCTGCATATATAATTTTCTGCCAGAGAAAATGGTGACCTGCGTGAATATCAAATACCCACTTTTTGGCTAAAACTATAAGAAGTACCGAAAATAGGGAGTTTTTTTTATATGGCGACATAATCCCTATTACAATTTTGGGGATTATGCCTGTTTTCTTTTCTTTCAAGATCGCTATAATGGAATAGGGATTGTGTCCAAAAAAAATCGCAAATATAATAATTATGAACGATTCTTTTGCAGAAATAAAACCCATTGCAGGGAAGGCATTTTTATCCTGATTACGGCAAAGTAACTTTTTCCCGGTTTTTCGACCCGAAAGATCGGATACAAAATTGAATCCGGTTCTACAAAACTGATATGTAAAAAATGGGTGTAATTTGAATGCTTATGGAAATATCTATTCAACAAGCGCTTATATAATGGGGTTGTCTGATCCGTTTCCGGAGCAATAAAAAATTGATATTTTTGTACCTCAACTTTCTAAAAATTTTTGCATACTACATTACAGCCTACGCTCTTGCCTTTTCAAAATGGTGCTAAATGTGCCGATATCTCATATAGTTCCAAAGATATTAGTGATATAAATCATTTTTAATAGCCGGCCATCGGTCGGGGCTTGAGATTTCTTCTCTGGGTTATATCCAACATTTACCTTCAAAACTCTTCGGACTTAAAATATATTGGAATAGAATTATTATCAACATACTTCATTCCATTCGGAATCTGGACAGATTTCCCCAGAAGGAGAAGGCTAAATCGATTTTATGTTGATCAAGAATAATTTTTTTTCACCCTATATGATCTCGGGGATTAACAAATGCGATGAGTAACTTAATATAACCTCTATAGTATGGTGGAGCGTATAAAATCACTCAAAAACTTTAGTTCGACAAAACGTTTGACACCATCCAACGCAAGAAAACGTATATAGCCAAATTTATACTTTGGTTTACGTAATACGATTCAAAAATAATAAGTTACAGTAATTTTAGTTTAAAAAGTGGGTAAGTCCAAAGTTGGCCGAATCTGCTAAAAGGGGCTTCTGACGAAACAGTTACAGATATCGCATTTTTTTCCTTGGACGAATTTTCTGATTTCAAAAATTCCTGATTTCAAACATTTGGTTTAATCTTTTGAAATTCCGAAAGCCAACCAAAAATACCGGTACATTAAGTCAGGAATGCTTGTATCCTTGCTAATTTGGTTAAAAACACATCTGAAACTTTAAAATACTTTAAATAGAACGATACCTCTATATGATATATATGATTGTACCAAATATTGGACCCATATTGAAGTATTTTTATGAAAGAGATTTTTTTCTATCGGGAACTAGAATTTTCAAATTAATCTGATTCTCTTGAAAATCAGGCAGTACCTTTAAATAGAAGCTCTGCAACAACTTGAGACTATAAGGCCCATTTTCATTACCGCCATCTAGGGCAATATCTAGGGACCAACATTTTTTCTACGCACTTCAATCTGTTTGGAAGCTACAATGATTTTCACGAACTGACTACACGCAAATGTACATTGCTAAATCGGAGTGAAATTTCATGACAATTTTTAAAAAAATACCCTGCAACAACTTACAGTTCCCATTAATAGGCTTCCTAATCAATGTTTGCCAAATCAAAACACAACTTCTTTTCTTTGCTTTGGCATTTTCAAAAAAAAAATCTATTATTTTTTCTTGCTGCTAATACAGAATAATTCCTTGACAGTAGCTTTTAATATGTTATTCGGCTTATACAGCTCTCAGGTTTTTCCAGGGTATAATTGGAGGGAAAGTCTAAGCTTAACTAATTTCTTCCATAACTACTATATATTGAAATACTGGGTTGGTGGTCTAATTAGTAACAAACTTCAAGAAACCACAAGATAACGTTTGAACGAGCTGGGCAATGAAAAGTTTTGGAAAAAATCTTATTGTTAATAAAAAAAATTAAATTATAATACAATATTCCTCTTTGCCATGAAATTTAATATATGTTATGCTGTGAAAAGTATATGGAGGACAATAACACATGAATTCCATGAATAAGATAATGAAAAACAAATTCCATTTTGTCTTATTCATAAAGTGGACGACCTTCAACTAAATGCGAAACGGAGATATACAAAAGTCGAGTCATGGCGATATCGTCATCTCATCCCATTTGGCAGCATCAGCTAAAAGGGAAACGGAAAGGAAACCACCATGTGCTGTGGCGTGGGCTGGTGATCACGACGACATTAGCGTGGTGTTTTTATCAGTTTCAGAATATTTATTGTGAAATTCCTACAAAGTTAGTCAAAATAAATAAATACAATGAAGGCGTACATACAACAACAGCTCTACACAATAACTACAACAACAACAATTAATACAAACCAAATTATAAATACTTCTATAAGAAGATGATAGGCGTTGTGAATTTTATCTCCAATACAAATACAATACACGGAAAGGAAGTCCCTTGCTCAATACCAGGCACTTAGATACCGAAACCTAACAATGTCATAACCTTAAAACCATATTCGAAATCAACAAAACGCTTCATTTCGATATCGCTGGCTGGTCCTCTAAAGTGAAATAAGACGAAACGATGCGACAATCAGTCAGCAGTCACTTGCCACTATTACGAAGTTTCTCCGTCTATTTTTCAACTGCGCATGAAACGTTTAGTGATTCCTACAAACACCCACTCACCCATTCCTTCGTACAGCCCTCTTTTCGCAGAATAGAATTGTAGTGGACAACAAAAAGCAACACAAACAACAACAACAATCATAATAACAATGCCTGGGATGCCTGACTGACTACACTGATACGTTTAGATATCATGCTAATCACAGTTAACTTGTACATGTGTAAATATGTCGAGGACGACATTGAAATTGCAAAACACATGTAAGTGCAGGGCTTCTGTTCGTTGTGATGTATTGGGGTGGATCGATGTGAAGTTTGTGAAGATGGAAATCTTGGTTGTAGGTGTTATGGTTTCTGCCTCTAGAGGAAACAAAACACTTCTATGCTGTTAAAATATGCGATCCAGAGTTTATGAAGAATATCAGGATTTATCAGCAGGGGATAAACAGGTCAGCAGGTTATGAACGTAAAGGTAAAAATAGAATACACGTGTGACGTTATTTTAGAAGTTTACTTCGCAAAGTAACCGAAAATGACTTTCCGTCCCAAATTAAACCAAAGGCTCCTCTTTAAAAAATGGTTAAAAACGGGTTTGTAATAAGTCAAAATGTCGGAAGTAGCATCAAATTTTAGAATAAGTTTAGATTTGTCCGAATTGGTCAACTTTGGCACGAATTATGGCCTTCAAACGCCAATGAACCTGTCGCACGCGCTCGAATGTTGCTCTGCGGTATTTTGGCCCATTCCAGACGAAGCGCTTGCTTGAGTTGATCCACACTTTGGTATTTTTTAGTGCCAAACTTGATTTCCAAATACTTCAGACACAATAATCCAACGGATTGGAAATGGAAATTGTGCCCTGGAAATGAAGCGAGGAACCTCATTTTGTAACCATTCTTGGGTGGCGCGTGTTGAGTCCTGTTGGAATGTCCAAGGTCTGCGGCCAAAATGTGCCCTAGGCTTTTATACACCCTCCAGAATATTTTAGCGATAATGTACGGCATTTATTCTAATGCCACGGTCGATTAATACGAGCGAAGTAGAAGAGTTCTAGTGGCCAACAGAAGGTGCACATTTTCAGCTGACCTCTTTGGCAAGTAATCACGATCATTTTGTTCGTTTACAAACTGCTGGACAACGAATGCTTTCTCATAGGAGACGGAGAAAACCAAATTCGGCAGATCAACACTTTCGGCCAAGCGAAGCAACTCCTTAGATCTTTTGAATCTATTTTCTTTCTGCTGCGGTGTAGGTTCTTGCACTTTTTGGAATTTCAATGGCTTTACCCCGAG